GACGGCGTCTCAGGCTCCTCTGAGCCGCTCCAGAGTCTGTATTCACCTTCCGCGTGCCCGGGGGGCCCCCGCCCCGACAGCGCGGACACGGGGGCCGGCTCGGCGCGGGAGACGGCGTCCAGCAGCCCAGGCATCGACATCGCCGACGGTGAGTGTCCGCCCCGCGCCCGCCCCTGGCCTCTCCTGCTGCTCACTGTTCTCCCTGCGTGAGGCCTGGAGCGAGGCCGTCCTCTCCCACGTGATGGGTGCAGGTTTCAGGAGGCCCCAAGCCGTCGGAGCAGGAAGCCCGCGGTGGTTTCATGGCGTCTGGGCGAGCCAGGGAGCTCTCTGCCCGCTCCGTCCACTAGGCAGGGCTTGGAAGAGCTTGGTGCCAGGGTCAGCATGCACGCACGCACACGGGAGACCAGGGCGCCTGTGGGGCGGCCCCGAGAAGCCGTGTGCACGCAGGCCTCTCGCCGGGACGAAGAAACGGGCACGCGCGCCCAGCACAAGGAAAGGCCAGTGTAGCTCCCGGAGAAGTGGGGGCAACCAGGGTCTCCCGGGGGACGCAGAGCACCGCGGGGCACGCGAGGGCCCCAGTCCGGGCGTGTGGTGGCCGTGATGGCCGAGGTGGCCCAGAGACGGGCCTCCTTCCTGCCCGCCCACTGCCTCTGCACAGCATCTCGCCCTCTGGCGGGTCTGACCGCTAGGACACGGGGTTAAGGTCTCAGCACTTTATTTTGCGTGAACTGGTGTGAGATTTTCCAGCAAAGACGCTGTAATGAGTGCTTTATGTGGTCAGTTTACGTGGAACTTGGCGTTTTCTTCTGACACCGGGAATTACAGATACTTTAACAGAGTTTTTGTTCCCACATCCCTGCAGCTAAGCTGGTAACGGGCTCTCCTTTTACAGAGATCCCTCTGATGGAAGAAGATGCCTGAGCAGCAGAGGTCCGACCATCTTCCTGCCCCTCGGGGATGTGAACTGTGCGCCCTGGGGTGAGGCCTCAGGGGGACAGAGCTCCGGGGCGCTGGGGGGTTCCAGCTTTGGGGGCCGTGACTCACATCATCCATCGCGGACTCGACTCTGCGGCTGGTAGGCTGGCGGCGGTTTTCACGACAGTGGAGGGTAGCAGGGGGCCCGGGCGGTCCTGGAGAAGGTGTCCAGTGTGTCCCTGCTGCGGAGCAATCCCGTGACTTGTGCTGTGGGCGCTGCCTGCCTCCTCTGTCAGCATGTCCCTCACCGATTCGCCCCGAGGTCTGCCGTGCTCGACGCAGGCTCCGTCTGGGGGCTGTGCTTCCCGCGGGAGGCCCCTGGGGAAGGCTCCCGGGGGGTTGGGGCAGCCTCCTTGACCCGACTCGGTACTCAGAGCGGGCGCAGCAGTCCCAGCGAGGGAGGAAGGAAAAGACGAGGGCGGACTCTGCTTTGTGGAAGCCTGTCCAGAAGCGGCCGTCCTTTGGTGAAGCGTGATGAGCTTCTGTCCACGGACTGGCGCGCAGACGGTGCGTCGGGTGAGTCCGGTGACTTTGGGGATGGCCGGATGTGCCCAGACGCGGGGCCTGGCAGGGAACGTTACAAGGTAACGTTTCATTCAGCGGTTTAAGGATTCGCGTGACCATGTGTCTCAAGAGCCGCGAGCCCCCTCATTACCCGTTATAGCGTCACCCCCAACAGCCATACAGTTTATTTTCCAAAACAGAGATTTTCTGTACACGTGTTCTTCCTCCAAATAAAGTATGAATGAAGTTGGAGTTTTTCTTTCTATTTTGTCTGCAAAGCAGACGGGCTGCCCAGCCCAGACGGCTGTCCCCTCCCTCCAGGGGCCTGCGGCCACCCACCTACCTGTGCACCTGCTGTGCAGGCCTCCCCCGGGCCCGTTGGGTGCTGTTCCTAAGAAACTGATGGATGAAAAAGTCTCCCAAGTCCTGAAATGTCTCTTCAAATACATGTTCATCTGTGGACTTGATTTCTTTCTTCCTCTGGGCTTTAGACACATAGAAACAAAACTCTGATCCATAAAATTGCTACGTGGTTGGAGCAGAGAGAGCTGGGAGCTTGGTCGAATCCTGGTTTATCCCGACGCAGACTGAGTAAAGATTAAAAACAAAGTGACAGTTTGAAGTGTGACTTTAATATCGGGGTGGGGCCGGGCGGGCAGGGGAGGATCAGTGACCTCAGGGTCGGGGCTGAGGGCGGCGGCTGGGAGGGGCCCGAGAGCCCCCGGGACAGCGAGCTCTGGGCGTGTGGGGAGCAGTGTTGACTTGCTAGACCTCGTTTGGCACTACTTTGTATCACGAGCCGCAGGGAAGGAGCTGAATTCTCATCAGGGTTTCTGCTTAAATGCCACCTGGCCTGCCAAGAGGCAGGGGGCAGGGGCGGCTGAGGGGCCGCTGAGGATCCAGCGTGGGCCGCCTCCTCCAGGCAGCCATCCCAGGAGCCCGGTCAGGCCAGGTACTCCCCAGGTGTTCCCCAGGCCTGCACCTGTCCTCCCTCCCAGGCCCCAAGCAGAGAGCATGTTAGAGACCTCTGGCTAAGTGCCTCCTTTCCTGCAGGACAGCTGGGAAGGGCCCCGGAAAGCGTTCTCCCTCCCGAAGTAGAGAGCAGCCCTCTCACCGGTGAGCCACGTGCAGGGGTGCCACTCCAGCCCTGCACCTGGGAGGCCGGTCCCGCACCGCAGGTGCCACGGACACCCAGGTGTTAGCGGCAGCAGTGTTCTCAGCATCGCGGCCTCTTGGAAGGAGGTGCTGCTTCTCCGCATTAGAGTCTAAATGAGTCCCCTGGCCCCCTCGGTCCCTCTGGTTTCTGGTCACGTCAGCGTCTCACCCACAAATGCTCTTCCCCATGATTGTTTCTATAGTGAGCCTGTGTGGCAGAAAAGGATGCTCGTGATGGCCCCAGCACGTCTCAATCCTGTTCTCTGTCCGTTCGAAGGTCCCGGCAGCCCCTCTGGGTCCTGGTGCTGCCCTGGGCAGTGGTCGGCAGTCAGGCCAGTGCCCTGAGGCGCTTCAGAACCCTCTCCACCTCCCTGCCCCAGTCCCAGTAGCCGCACGAGACCGCAGGCCCAGGAGGAGTTCGAGGCTCTCGGGCCACAGGCTTCTGCTGGGTCCGGATGCACCTCCTGTCCCCGTGCCTCCCCTCTCCGTGCCCCAGGGCCTGGTGCCTGGTGTCCCTGCAGGGACCGCGCAGTGACACGGGAGAGCACGGCTTTGCCACGGCCACCACCTGGCCTCAGATCCTGCCTCCGCCACCAGCGGGCTGTGTGTTTGGACCAGGGGTTGCGCCTGGAGCGTCCGTCTCCTCATGGAGAAATGAGAGCCGGCCCCCTTGGCCTTCCTCGCTGGCCTGTGGTGGGCAGGATGGCAAACGCAGACACACACGCAGCGCCCAGTAGGCGTTGACAAACGGTGGCTGTTCTCCCCTGTGGCCGAGCGTGTGCGAGGGGTCGTGTGGATGATTTCCGGGCACCTTCCACCTGCCTTGGGCCCCTGCTTCCCGGGGGGTGCTTGCTGGAGGCCGCCCCCAGCAGATGGGCGGGAGCGTGAGGTCCATTCCCCTGGCCTCTCCCCTCCCTGAGCTCTCTGTGCAGAGGAACGTGTCCCGTCCTCTGAATGTTCCAGAAGCTTCTGTTCACGGAGGGCAGGACGACCTCAGGAGTCTCCCAGGGACTCTGAAGGACCCAGATCAGCTACACAGCAGCCCTGCTTCCCTAATTTTATAGCCTGTCTCGGATTGAAAGCATAAAAGTTAATGCCCGTACGTTCCTGGGTGATAAAGGGGAGAGACCCCACAATGAAGAGGCCTGGTCTGGAAGACAGAACAGGGCCCTGGAGAGAGCGGTCAGTTGTCGGGGAGGGTGGGTCCCGGGCACAGCGGCCTTGAAATCATAAAACTTGACTTAGAATGGGCGGCATCAGCACAGCAATGTTTAACAGCTGTGGCCAGCGGGGCACCGTCTCCACACTGGGAGGAAGCCTCGGTGTCAGGCGCACAGCAGCCCTGCTCCCTGGTTAGGCTCGTGTGCACGGACCTTTCTAGTTTCTCAACAGACTGTATTCTTCAGAACAGCTTGAGTTGTGGGAGAATGGAGCAGAAAGTACAGAGCCCCACACCCCACACCCCTCCTCCCGTTATTTCCACCCGGAGTTTGCTTGTGACAATGGATGAGCCCACGTTGATGCGTTGTAGGTCCCCCCCTCCCCCATCTGAAACTCTGTTGAGCCGAAGTGGCAACAGTCGAAGAGTGTCCCCTGCTTTCCAAAAGTTCGCGTTCGGCCGCTTGGCTTTCACGAAGGACCTGCTCCCGCCGTTCTGCTAACTGAAGGGGATCCAAAGGGGGTTTTGCTTTTATGAAAAAAGAGGTTGGTGCTAATGCAGAGCGTGAGCTTCCGGAAAGCGGGGGTTCCCGGATAATTACCTGGAGTGCCGGGCTTACTGTTGGAGACGCGCATTCCCCGGGTGTGGACGACGGTACGGTGAGGTGACGGCATCACACAGAGTGCTCACCTGCTCGTCCCTCGTCCCCTCCAACCCGTGGCTGCCCCTGACCTTTTACTGTCCCGTGGCTTTGCTTCTGGGACAGTCACCTGGCTGGAGTCACACGGGATGTGGCCTTTCACTCAGCAGCAAGCACGAAAGTCCGTGCTTCCACGGGACAGGAGAGCGGCCCGCGTGCACGACTAGAAACTTGAAAAGACTTCACGCACTTCTTGGCTCTTGCGGCTGGAGAACGCGAGAGGCCAGCGAGGCTGTGACCAGGATCGCCTCCCCGGCCACCCGAACCCAGCCGGGATGGAACATCCCACGGGCTCGCTCAACATCCCATTTGGGGTCTGACAGACTCCGTGTCCCGAGTGTGGTGGACAGATGGGCGCCTGCGGGCACGGTGGGGTCGTCTCCTGCACGCACACACCAGCAGCTGCCTTTCCCCACGGCAGGGGGACTCCCGGCACCAAACGGGATCCCGTCCTCTGCTAGAGTCCCCGCAGCTGTAGAGTCTGGAGAACGTCAGGCCTGGTTCTGGAGGTATTGAGTCCGTGTAGACGGACTGGGCCCGGCCTGGCGTGGACGTCCAGGAATGTGTCAGCCGTGGGCCTCGTCACTGAACTCCGCCAGCTCCGGGCTATTGGCTTCCTCCCCGAGATCCGGGAGGGGAGGCTGCTTGTTTTCCCGCAGTACGTCATGGTGACGTCCTCTGTGGTCACTGAGCCCCTCCCGTTCACCCCGAGATCCCCGCCCCTCCCCCAAACCCCCCAAAGGGCGAAGCCACAGAAAAGAATGAAGTGAGTCCGGCCTGACTTGTTCTTCGTTGACTTAAGAACTTACTGGTTTGGGGCGCCTGGGTGGCGCAGTCGGTTAAGCGTCCGACTTCAGCCAGGTCACGATCTTGCGGTCCGTGAGTTCGA